ATATAATATATTTCATTTATTATTAAAGGAATTAGTTTATCAAGGACATTAAAAAGAAATTCTGCGATCGAACATATGCCTCATGTTCTTTAACAGGAAATTTTAAGGCTCTTTTTGTTCGACCAATGTAATTTAAACCACATTCGCAAGAAATCCTATAAATACCCCTGGAATTCATATCCGGAGTGGATTCCTTAAGCATGGAACTAGGAATCTTTTTGATAGGAGAGAAAAAACCCGAAAGTTAAAACTCTGCATAATGCGTGCAGTTTTATAGCTAATTGAAGGAAAAAAAGGAATGACAACAGAATTCCTATAATCACCTAAACAGTATTGTGTTTTTTGATGTGTTCCGATGAGAATTTTTTAACTGTACGGTTTATTATGCTGGGTGAAAAGCCCTACAATAGCAACAGCTTTTAAATAATTTAGCTCTTAAACAAGAGTTGATTTGGAGGAGCAAACTTGAAATGCACGGAAAACAAAGAAATAAAGTACAGCTAGCTTCTCTTTCGTTGGATGACATAATCTGAAGTGTGGTGGAAGGCAAACCGATGAAGGTTTACGGTAAACAGTAGTACTGAAATCAGATATATTACGTGTGACCACAATGTCGAGTAACGGAAGAGAATTGGATGTCTCAAGTTCAAAAGTGAACTGAATAGCAGGATCAATGGAAATTATTATTGAAAAAACATTATTTAAATCATTTTCATTACCATCAAACAGGGTAAATGTAATGTCTACGTAACGAAACCAAACTGGAAAGTTTAAAGTTTCAAATAATTTAGATTCAAAATAATGCATGTAGATATCAGCAAGGATCATACTAAGAGGGCTTCTAATGGCTAATCACTCAGTTTGCTTGTAATACGTATTTTGGAAAACAAAATCTGTTTGTTTCAAACAGAGTTGAGTAAGTGAAATTAGTTCATCAATTTCTATGCAGGAGAAATGAAATTCACGAAGTATAGTTTTTAGACATCTTAATGCACCTTCCACTGGAACACTAGCAAATAATGATTTAACATTATAAGAAACCATGAGGAAATTTTGGGGAGAAATACTTTTAACTTTTTTACAAACTATTTAATTTTTATGGTGTAAGTGTTATTTAATAAAGTTGATAATCTAGAAAATAAGTACGAGCTAACAGATACGACGTACTGCCTAAATTTGATAAAATAGGGCGGTAAGAAATACCACTTTTATGAATTTTGGGAAGAGCATTATAATCTGGCACAATTCGCAACAGATGGGATAAGCAATCGTTTTAAGGGGTCGGAAGGATTTATGAAGATTTGATCGCAGTTTTTATTTTTGAGAGGTCCGAAGGTGAAGGGTCTTTCTTGATCGGAATATATGGTCCTCCGTTTAAGAGTTTAGTGACACTATAAATGTAAGTGTTCCTGTCCATGACGACTATCTGGCCACCTTTGTCAGCCTTTGAAATGCTGGGTTGGAATGAATTTCGCGCTTCTTTCACTTGTATTTAGGTTTGGCTTCAAAGGTTTATTGTTCAGTTTCTCACATCATGGGCGATAACATGTCTAATCATTTCTTTCTGTGTGTCTGAAACTTTACTGAATTTGAAAGCTTTTTCGATAGGAGCCACAATCGAAAGTTTTGAAGTTTGTGAGAAGTTAAAGTTATATTTCAGAATTTTCTTATGTTCTTCTGCTAAATTAACACTAGAAATATTAACTATTCGCTTAATATTTACAATGAGAAAATTTTTTGAACTACTTAAATTGGAAGACTGGGAAAGAAGATTTTGGAATTTAAATGCAAGTGTGTTCTTATGACGGTTAACTACATTCTCAGTTCTGAACCAGGACTTTTGTTCAATAGCAGTGAATTTTGGATATGAGTTAGCAAGTTCCAAATGAAGCTTATATAGCTCAAGTTCAATTTTGATAACTGTTGCTGTGTAATTCTTATAATGGAACAAAGCAAGGCTAGTTTGCAATTTAAGAGAATTTTTGAAACACGATAGGAAGATTTTTGATTACATTTAATCTGAATTAAATTGGGGATGAACATTTAAGTTTACACTTAAGTAAAAAATCAAGGTGATTCATGAATTTCTGTCGTTTTAGGCGCAATTTTGTGAACCGATTAAACGGAAGCCCTCTTAGTCCAATCCTTGCAGATATCTACAAGCATTATTTTGAATATAAATTATTCGAAACCTTAAACTTTCCAGTTCCGTTATGTAGACGATGCATTTACTCTGTTTGATGGTAATGAAAATTATTTAAATAATGTAAATAATTTCATTGGTCCTGCTATTCAGTTCATTTTTGAACATGATACATCCAATTCTCTCCCGTTCCTCGACCTTGTGGACACATGTACCATATCTGACTTCAGTACTACTGTTTACCGGAAACCTTTATCAGTTTACCTTCTACCATACTTCAAATCAAGTCATCCGACGAAACAGGAGTTAGCTTCCTTTTATTTCTTTGTTTTCCGTGCACTTCAAGTTTTCTCCTCCAAATCAGCTCTTGATAATAAACTAAATCATTTGAAAGCAGTTGCTATAGACAGGGGCTTTTGAGCCCACATTATTAACCGTGAAGTTAAAAACTTTTCATCGGAACACATCAAAAGGTACAATTCTTTTTTTGGGTGATTATAGTAATTCTGTTGTCATTCCTTTCTTTCCTTCAATTAGTTATAAAATTGCACGTATTTTACAGAAATTAACTTTTGGGTTGTTTTCTCTCCTATCAATAAAATTCCTAGTTCCATACTTAAGAATTCCATTACGGATATGAATTCCTGGGGTATTTACAGGATTCCTTGCCAATGTGGTTTAATTTACATTGGTCAAACAAAAAGAGCCTTAAAATGTCGTGTTAAAGAACATGAGGCATATGTTGGGAAAAAGGAAACACAGAAATCCACTGTTGCTCAGCATTGTTGGAATGAAAATCACACTTTCCATTTTTCTGCAGTCAAAACTACTCAGAAAACGTCCTCCATTGCTGAATTAGTCTTTTTACAAGAGTTTCAGATCCAAAAAATCATTTCTTTTCTAGTTAATGACCCCGATTGCAATCCATCCTTACCTTCGGCCTTTAAAGAAATTTTGTTTCAGTTTTTCTTGTTTCATAAATAGATGGCGCCGGTAGCTTAACTTCTGTCCAACTTTTCTTATCTTATCTCTATCGTTATCTTATCTTTCTTCATCCCTTATTTGGTTCATTTGTACTTAGCAGCCGAAGAAGTTAGTTTAAAAACTATCGAAACTAGTACTGCAAAATTTTTAAAAAAATTTACGCCGAATTCTTAATTTTGGACATTGTTTTTGATTGTTATTCAGCGTGATATTTAAACTAAACCAAAACTTATGGTCTGAAACGTAAAACTAAACGTAATAACGAAAACTTGTAATGTTCCACCCTAGAATTTACAGCTTAATGTGAGGAAACTTAAGAACTGGTAAGAGAATAATCGCTTAGTTCAGAAAGATAGAAACTTAAACGTACGAAGTGTTAATCGCCCTTTATTATTCAAAATAAATTTAACAATTGAATCCTTCTTCGAATTTATGGCAAAGCCTCCACTTGCGTTTAAACTCAGGAATACTAAGAAATAAAATTTAACTAAACTAAAAGGATATAGCCGAAGCTATCAAAATTCTACAAGAGTTGGCCTCTTAATGCTAACTAAACGGCGAAGCTATCAAGGGCCTGAAATACGTCCGAGCATACAAATAGGTTTAGAGACAGTAGCCTAAAAGGCGAAAGCGTGCTGGTCAGAATATCTGGTTCTCTAAGGAAGTCAGTAGAACATCAACTTTAAATAGTTGCTCTTACTTCGTTTGCATTTAACCGCGATTCTGAAAACACGTTCTGACAGGAAATTGTAAGGTGAAATTAATAAGGATAGGAAAGTGACTTTAACTCAAAATTAACTGTTAAAACTTAGGATAAACCTTGCAAACTAATTAAATTAAATAAGAGCTAAACTCAAATATTTTTACAAAGACTAGTAGAGCGAAGATTGGCCTTTTAATCTTTGCGTATGTAGTACGCAGAATACGGGAAAACTACAATATGCCTTCAGTATCAAGAGGACTAAATTCTGGCCTTAAAGGCGGACTGCAACTGACTGAAAAGCGCGCTTGAGATAAGGTAGGGAGAAATAGCTCTAACTCCTTCTTGGCTAAAAGCCACAACTTAACAGTTTGCAAGCTCAATTTGCATAACTAAAAATAACCACGTTTATTCTGGTCGGAAGTAGAAAATAAAAGAAGACAGCAAAGTTTTAAAATAAAATAAACGATAGTAAAACTTATAATCCTTACAGAGGTACATGCAATAAAAGCCCTTTTTAACAATTCTGCTAATTTAATTTTTACAGTGATCAGACACGTCATCTGTGTAATGTCTTTCAGGACCTAAACTCAATCGGAATTTAACTGAGGCCGGGTCCGGTAATTTTCAGTTTCCGAGCGAAATTATATTTTCAGCCGGAGAGTACTGGACTCTAAGCAATACAGGCTCCGATATTTTATATAACTTTCTAGCACTATAATGAGAAAATTCTGTTATTAATACAATTTTTTGAGTACGTAGTGAAATTGATTTTGATATTTAATTAAAGTAATGCAGGCAAGAGGTAAAACCAAATTAAAATCTAGATAACATAGGCGAGCAAAGTTAGGGAACTAAAAAAAAGAATAATGAACACTTAACTGAAACTTAGGTTACACAGGACATAAAACTTAAGGTAGGTTACAAAGCAGGAAAAGATAAGGAAAACTTAAATAAAAGGCCGAAGATACAGACAAGTGGCAAAATTTCATTGAAAATTCTATTACAAAGATAGAGAACAATGTGACAAAAACAAAATTAAAACTTAGGTTATAAAAATAAAATCTAATTAAAATATACTCTAAAAAGGTAGTGAATTAAAAGGTAAGGGAAACGTAAATGTGGGAATTCAAATCAAAAGCTAAACTAAAGGTTACTAAAAGCTGTACTTACAGCGCAACTGAAATTAACAGCCGTCAACCACTTCTACCTGAGGAAAATCAATAACTGAAATATTCACACTCATGCATCAAGAATTTAATTTTGAACGATTAACAAGACTCGTGGGCTTGCTCTGATCTCAGACAAAAGAGTTAAGTCAACAACCACAATAACAACGATTAAAGGAATTCGGTGTTTGAAGCTATTGTACACTCTTAAGTATCTGCCGCACTAACGAATATAAATATCACACACACAAAAACGAGAGCAAACCGCTGCAGGTGGGCAACTCCCAAGTTAAATAGTCTACTCGTGGTTTGCCACAACTCGCTCTCTAAACTAGAAATTCGTAGGATGTTTAAACTCAATCTAATTTGCATGTCTTTGAGGTTGACCGAAGAAAAAAGAATACACAAGAAAAAATTAAGGAAAAAAAAACTTTTAGCTAAATTAAACCTTTCAAATACAACAATTTTTTCTTAATTTTCGTTGCAAAAATTCCAGCGTTTCAGAAATTTATGCAAATCACAGTTACGTGAGAAAACCTTTAATGTTGAAGTTTCTTAACAGCAATTTATACTGAATTATGCCGGGTAACTTAATTAAGCAGGTTTTAGCTGCCATTGGAGCGTTTCTTCGATGCTAGCGACGACTGACCTTTACAAGTCTTTCTATTTGAGCAAAGTAACCTAGAGAGCTTTCAAATGTCTCTTCAATTAGTAGTCAGAATTATGTGAAATTATCATATTTCCCTGTATGTGTTCTCCAGCCATAAGTGGTTAACATGTCCAGCTGTCAGCTGGGGGATCAATGGTTGGAATTCCGGCGAAGGTACAAAACATTTCACATCTTCATTCTCTGAAAAACATAATAATCAGTCTAGTGAAATACGAACAATGAAAATTGACGATAATTCGCTACCACTTGTATTTGGTACACTGTATTTCAAGCCTTTCCCCAGTCACACATTAACTGAGAAGAGAATATGAAAAGGATTAACGGATTCCCTCCGTATGCTCGCTCGCAGTGTTACGTGTTTAGCACGTCTGGCTAGTAGGCACTTTCGGCTAGAAACTGTACTGTTTCCCTCCCAGTTCCAATTTTCAAACTTTTTTTTTATGATGCATTTTTTTCTTTCTTTTGTGCTCGTTTGACTGCAATTTCTGCGTTACACAAACTTTTAATTACAATTTATCTTGATATTTACGTACCCTGAGGTAAATGATGAAATGAATATAAAGCTAACAATTTGAGGATTTTACTTTTAACTAGAAACTAGAAAACGTGCTAGAAATTTAATATAATCAAGAATCGACGAAATCTGGGGCAAATAAATATTGCTACAAATGATAAAACGCTCCGGTTTGCAGGTTTCTGAGTTTCCAAAGAAGAGTCTGGGCAATCAAAAACTAATTTGCATTAAAAGTAGACCAAGCAATAACTGTAGGAAATTTAGTGGAATTGATTCAACTATTTGCTTAAATATATATATATATATATATATGTAATTCTTATTACGTTATTAAAACAGAGGCTGCTTAAGTTTAGCCTTAATTTAATTATAAAAAGAAAGGCTTTTCATGAGAAATATCTTATAACACTTAAATGGGGCTTAACTTACCTCAGCAACAAGTTAACTTACAAGTTAATCTAAATGTTACCTTGACTTCTTCGGCGAGTTTTCAAAGAATAATAAAACATCTTCGGATATACAATCAAAAATATACTTCAGTTTACTGAACCTCACCACTTGGTGAACGTTAAACTAAAAATAAGACAAAAGAAAAAAATCCTGGACTCAGCTGTAAACACAAGATTTCTTTTGAATTGTTTTAATTACAATATCAAATTCTAACACAGGCTAAAAGATTTACTCCATACTGCTAACAGTGACTCAGGAAAACAAATTTATCTTACGAGTTTTAGTTAAACGTGAGATAACAGCTACACGCCAAGATACAAATTCTGCGGCTGGCAGTGTCGCCTTTAATGGTAAAAGTCTCACACACTGACAATATTTTTACGAAATGTACAAGCGTGGTAAGATAGCTTCCCCGCAAAGCAGTTTTAGAGTTGCCATAAAATGGCAAGGAAGGAAAGGTTGCCATATTTGGCGAGAAATCGCCCATTTGGCGACAAAATTGTCGACATACCAAGGACGGATAGAGAACCTTCTGGAACGAGTTCTTACCGGTTTAGCCTAGAATGTTCACGAACACAAGCCGAAAGCTAGATCAACCCTGCTGATCTGCAGTCAGGTGTGCTTCATCGAGAGGGAGAGTCAGAGTGCCTCATCTGGAGCTCGAGTTAGTTAGTTTCGTGAGTGTGCCTCGTCTAGCGAGCCGTGCGGAGTCGATCGAATTGACAGCCGGGCAGCGAGTGCCGAGTAGGTCATCGAGTGCACCGAAAACGTCTCAGTGTATCGTGGTTAGTCCATCGTCGAGAGAGCGTGTTGAGCTCCGGGAACTACTGAACCGAAGAGTCGAAAGCCATGCTCTGTGTGCCGACGAGTGCATCGCGAGTTGTAGAGTGGAAAATCTCGAGAGTACGTGGAGTTCCGAGAACGACCAAGCAGAGTCGGGAGCTGTACTCTAGAGCTTTGCCTTGAAGCTGTCTCCACCGTGATAGCCTGATAACCTGAAGGCTGTGTCGCTGAACGTGTCAGCGTGTTTATAACAGTTCGACAACTGTAAAAGTGATTTTGGAGCTATCTGCTTAATATTGGTAAATAAAGTGTGTTTCGATATATCACCAAGTGTCGTCGCTATTCACTAAAAATCTACGAACCCCGTACGAACGTGAAGGAAGAAAATAACGTAACAATTAGTGTCAGAAGTGGGATAACGCAACAATATGCTACTCTTCTAACTGAGGATTTCCTTACCCTTTGCTCACGTTGACCGCTTTTAAAAAAATGGCTTTCTTCATCGATCTCCTTGCAATTTTCTCTGTAATATACATCAAAAAATATAATCATCTTTAACATTATATAATGAAAACTGTATACGTAGGTACGTATGTATGCTACTTGAGTTGCAGAAAAAGGCGGTACCTAGAGCCACCAAATTTCAAACATGCGTATTGTTCCAGTCGAACATGTACATATTTAAGCTCAAATTTCGAATTTCTTTTGTATTTTGTGGGAATTTAGGGAATTTTTGATTTAAAACCTCAGCTATATGATAGCTTTCTATTGCCACGAGGTGAAAATATGTTTCGAATTTAATCCGAAGATTCAGCGATGTAAAAGAAGTGTGGTGCCTTTCAACAAAACGTCATTCGGATTTAATCAAGAAGCTCAGTGATTTAAAAGAAATGTGTGTAACATTACGAATTAAAATATTTTTATCCTCCACGCAGCAATGTGTTGTCATTCAAAAAACCGTAAAACAATATTTAATTTTCTTCCTTCAAATCGTTTCTGTTCTGTAGTATAACAAACTAACGATTTAAAAACAAAAAGCACAGATTCATTTGAATTATTCTAATTATTAGCTGGACCCATGAAATAACATTAGCGGGAGTCATTAAAATCATTACACATATAATAATTATTTAAGGCCACTGAGAGCGCAAGTTTCTAGTAATACAAATAATTGCATATCAATAACGCAAAGATAACCATCAGACTGAGCATATGAACAAAATGTTTGAAAAGGAATGGTTTATTAGATAAATGTCTTATCACTTTTTGTGGGCTAACACTTTTTAATTAAAAGAAATACTTAAAAAAATCGGAGGAAAGAAGGAAATTATATATTTTTATTTTACAAAAGTTCGGTTTTAAATAATGTGCTAGCTAGGTTTGATGTATTGATGCAATAGTTTTAATAGTTGACATTAAACTGCTTTAGATCACCTCATTCAACCCTATCCAGTATGTTCCTTGGTTTCCGTATTACATTATTGACTCGACTAAAGTGGCAGCTGTTTTTTGCATTTATTGCATAAAATTTATGTACTTAATAATATTATTGATTTAAAAATTTTTTGTCTGTTTTTTTCCTAATTTTATTTTATATCTTTTCTTCCTAACTTCATGGTACATAGTCAATAAACAATTAATTACCAAATTTGTAATTAAGTTTTTTTTGATAATCAATGAGAACCTCATTACCATGCCGGTGCATATTTTTCTATCGATCTCTTGATCATTATTAACATTCTTTAAAATTTCATTGACCCTCAGGAGGTGAACCGGGCTTTGTGCAGACTTAACAGCCCACTGCTTGCCATTCAAATTTACCTAAATTCTGGGATGAAGTAACTTCTTAATGAAATGGTGACAAAGAAAAATATATTAAATAAATAAAATGTTATTTGTGAAAATCTATTATATAGCCACATTCTTATACCCAGTGTCGACCAAGCGCAGAAGTTTACAATATCGTTTTTAAAAACTTATTGTTATTTTCTGTTTGATATAATGCTTAAAATGAAATTAAATAGTGGCATGTGAAATACAAATGATCGACCTTTAGCTTTATATTAATTTCTGCATCTAAATAACTAAATGATAGAATTGTAAGAAAAATACTTTAAGTTAAAATTTAAAACCAGGCAAAATATCAACCTTAGTCTGGCACACATTTACATAAATCTTGATTAATTTCGAGAGCGATCAAATATGAATCTCTATTCTTTATGAAGGGTTAAATTTTGCTCCTGAAGAAGAGGGATGAAAATCAGACCGCCCTTAAAGATATAAAGAACATTATTCAAAAGTCTACGCCAAACTAAACTTATTGTTTTGCCTAGTTTAAAATTAAATGATATTGACAGACAATATGATATTTATTATTAATATATATTTCTATTAATACAGATCATAATCATTCAATTCAGAATTATATCAAAAATCATAGCCATAAAAATATATACTTTTTAAACAAAGTTCGTTAATTTTTTTTTCGATTTGCATACAATTAATTTTTCTTTATTATAGTGTTGCCTGTTGATATGTATCTCTGTTTTTATAAGCAATTGTTGACATCTCTAAATATGCAGTGCAGTTAAAAAAAAAAAAAAAAACTGAAAGTTTTCAGATTTTATATTACCCCTCTCCAACGTGCGTTTTTTTCCCCATTTACGAAAACATACACGTTTCGAGAGCATTTGGGCTAATGCCAATTTGAGCTGAAAATGTTTAAAAGCAGCATAACTTTGGAATTTACGATAGACAGTCTCTCTCGCTTTTTTTGGCGATATAAATGTTTTATTCCCTACAGTGTTGCCATTGCTCACTTTGAAATCCTTA